ATCGCAACCCTCGGTGCTGCTCCCGCACCTCGCTCAGCCAGTGAGCGGGAACCGGTCTGTATGTGGGATCCGAACCCTCGTCGGGAGCGCCGCCGCGCTTCCCAAGTGGCACACTAGCGCAGTGCGCCACCAGGCCGGCCCTGACATGTCTTTTTTGAGGGACATAGTTCACTCATAACACTACTAGGATGATATCTCAGGGAGACCCCATAGCTGCTCAGTCGCTTCAGGATATGATAAAGAATGATCGCCTTGCTTGCTGACAGTCTACACGAACATGTTACTCATATCCAGTTTAAAGCTTCTCCTCTTCTCCCTGTGGAGCTGCAGGTCTGGGACCTCTCCAGGGGAAGGATATGGAATCCGTTCTGTTGCTGCCCCTCCTTGGCCTCTAACTCTTCCTTCTGTTCACTGAACCTTTGCTTTCTCCTCCAGGGCCAGGGGAGGAGGAGGGAAGCAGAGGAAAAGCAGCACACATTTTTTTCTTGCTTGATGCTATTCGTAGCTCTCACCTGGCTATCGCTGGCAGCCCTCACTTATGCAGGAGGCCAAATGATGGCTCTCTGTGGGGTGCATGGCCTCTGATACCAGCACAGGGCTCTCTAGCAGACTTCTGTGCCAACACCCTCCACCCACCCAGTGGTCCCCACCACCTCACCCTGGCAGGCAGCCTGCATGGTCAGTGTCCTTGCAGTAATGCTCAAGCCCACTTAGTTTTCCCGGCATCCTCTTGACCCCCAGGAAACTCTGGCATCCTAGTTCCAGCCAATGCTGGGAGTGCAGGTGGCTCCCCCTCCTGCCCCTTCTCCTCGCCTGGCTGCTGTGGGTGGCCTTGGCCAGCCCCGGACTTCTGCATCCTTCAGCTCTGAAGCTGCTCCCATTTGTCTGTGTTGATGTATGCCCCAAACTCCCACAGAAGCTCTATTGTGCTCCCCTCTAGTGATGTATGGGGTGCCTAGGCATCTCTGCAGCCGGGCACATACCCAGCCTGGAAGTGCCGTGAGTGCTCCCCTCTTGCAGGTGCACTCCAGGCTCCTTGTCAATAGGCAACCCTTCAGTAGACAGCCCTCCGTCAGTCATTTTCCTCTCCCAAAGGAAGGAATTTGTTAGGGTGTGTAGACCAGCTCCTCCTTAAAATTTGGGGTGTTTGGGATTTAGCTAAACTTCCGAGGCACCTGGAAAAAAATCCCAACCACCCTCCTGTTACCCACCTATGAATCATACTCTTATGTCCCCTGCTTTGTTCATGTACTGGTGTTGCTGGATCTTTCCATGTCAAATGTATTTTCTATAATATATTTAATTGGTTCATAGCTTGGCATTCTTTAATTGTATCATTAATTTATTAATCATAATTTATTAGTTTATTAATCATTCTCTATTTTTAAGCTCTTAGATAGTCTCCAATTTTTAAAAAATACCCTCAGAATTATTTATGGAATTAGTGTAATTCCAGGGAGTGTTAATGTCTCTGCAGAATTCTTGGGTCCAACTTGGGGATAGAGGACACCAGGGCCACGTCACTGACTCTAGTGTGTCTCTGTTCTGAGCAGCAGCGCTCCTCAGGTCAACCTGGAGTCTGCTCAGGAGAGTGAGCGTGTAGGGTCCAGCTGATGCTTCCAGCTCTAGGACATCTGCTCCTGAGTCTTCATGCTCCTGTTCCCTGACAAAGGGGAGGAGCATATGAAAGTCATCAAATCTTGTTCAATGTCATGTAAGTGGCAGAGCCAGACCAGTACTGCTTCCTGGGCAGAGACGAGCACAACTTAGCCAGGCCAATTCCTGATAAAAGTTATTGTTGACAAACTGTGACTATGAGCAGACAAACAAACAAAACTTAGCAGGATCCATGGGTAGAACTGAGTGTCCCAGGTTAGTAAACCTGCAGTTGCCTCAGCTAAGCTCCATTTAATGAACTATGCTTACAAGAACCCATTTTTACATTTTCCTGTGAATTTCTTCTACTCTGAGGGCAGGACGGGGGACAGAAGCTTTGGGTTAGAAGGTGAATTTAAAAAAAACTCATAACTGAAATACCTGATTGTCATAGAAAATTTTCAAAAGTTCGTCTAAGGCAGGACTGGGGACAGAAGCTTTGGGTTAGAAGATGAGTAGGCTACAGATATTTTAAAAGTTACTTAAAAAAAATCATATCTGAAATACCCAATTGTCATAGAAAAGTTTCAAAAAATCATCTAAGTGCAAAGAACAAAATTAAAAACGATCATTGCCCTACTACCCAAAGTTAACTACTACCAGAATTTTGTCTCTGCCCTTTCAGAGATTATCCTGTATGAGTGTGTGTGTGTGTGTGTATCTTGGATCAAATAGTTTTCAGCTACCTTTTTCAATTATCAGTATGCTATCAATAAATAGTTTTCTATGATTTTACTTTTATTAACTACATAATGTTTTTCCTTTTGGATATAGTATGTTTATTTAAGTAGTTCTCTATAGTTGGATATTTAGTTATTTCTCTTTTTTCAGGGTTTTACAAGTTATAATAAATATTTTGGCAGCTAAATATTTGCCTGAACTCACAACTTTCTTAGAAATATTTCTGTTAATTAAATTTCTGTGTAATGGGGCTAGAGAATTGTAGTAAATTACACATTGATTACTGAGATGCAGATATGCATATTCATTAGTAAAAAACCAAAAAAATCCAAGTTCAAGCCTCACAAGATTGGGTCCCCACCACATTTCTAAGGTGAGGGCTTTGCTCTGATAATGAGGCTCCTTTGGAGAAGCCCTTTGTCCATGTGTGCCTGGGTATCCTAGTTGTTGCTTGGGATGCCCCAGGGCAAGCTCAGCCTTTCACATCCTCTTTTCCCCCCACCCCAATGTCTACCGTTACAGGTGTCTACTTGCTCAGAACAGCAGAGGAGAACCATGTCCCAGGTGAGTGTGGCATTTCTTTACACTGCATTTTGTTTTACCAAGGACTTCAAGAATGCATTACAAGAATGCAGCCAATAAAACAAAATACAAACAGATATCAGGCTCAGTGAAAACATGAAGAGAATGGAAGATCAGGGCCAAGGCAAGGGCAGGGTAGATACACTACAGAGGCTGTCAGAGTTATTAGGTGTCCTGTAAATTTATGCCTGCCATTTCAGTCACTTTAAAAAGGCCAGCAGATCCCATCCAATCTATGACTTGCATTGTCTGTGTGAGACAAGCCTGTCAACTTCTCAAGGGAAATAAAGCTTTTTTGGGCATTTAGAAATTTATTTGATGAATCTTCATATGCAAGATGTAGCAGGAAGATCTCTCAGTAATAACAATCTTGAAATAAACGTAACAACAAATCTCTTGTGACTTTTTTTCCCTCCAGTATAAACAGTGAATATTACGCCAAAGGAGACATCTGTGATTCCAGTTGTTTAGGAAATCAAAACACTCAGGTCTACAGAGATAGCCTTGTGGGTTCCAACTGACCCAGATAGAACACTGCATTATCCAGGGAAATGAATGAAATTGCATGTTCTTCAAATTATTTTCCATAATAATTTTTAACATAGATGGAGAGCAAACTTCTTGAAGTTTCAATCTTTGGCAGTGGTGTGGAGGGAAGATAGTCTGGACTCTCCTGGCCTTTTCTCCTCACATCTGAGGCCTCCCCTCCCATGTCAGGGCTCAGTCCTCAACTGTCTGCCCTTGGCTTCCTTGGAGTGTTTTCTCACTTGGTTGTTATCTGTCCTCAGAGGTCAGTGACATTGTCATTTTCCATCAGCCTGTTGGCATTCTCAAATTCCTCTATTCCTAGGGGGCCTCTTTTTACCCTGGGTTCTAGGAATGCGTGAATGTGAAGTGCACTGGTCAGAATCCTTGAAGTTGTAAGAGCCAGAAACCCAACCAGAACTAGTTTAGGACAAAATGAAATCTCCAAGGCAGCCCCTGAGCTGTGGGAAGAGCAGATTTGCAGTAGGGGTTCGGAGACACTTGCATCCAGGGACCCAGATAGCGTCAGGAGTCCTTCTTGTGCCCTCGTTCCTGCTTCTGTGACTTCCTGCTCTCATGCTGACTTCATCCGTGTGGCCAGAAACAGCACGGCCACAGCTCCCCCACCTCACATGTACAAGTCCTGCCACAGAAAGGGACTGAGTCTCCTTTCGTAAATACAGTTTGAGAGATCTTTGGGAAAGATTCGGATTATCCCAGCTTAGTTTGGGTTTAGGCCCTCTCCGTCTGGTCAGCCGTGTGCAGGGATCAAGGAGCTGGTTCCATGACTGGGAGCTCCTAGGAGCACCCCATGTTTGGGAGGGGCAGGAGGGGTTAGTCCCAGAGGAAGATGAGGCCTTGTGGACAGACATTACGACTGTCCACTCCAGAAAGAACAGCATTCACAGGGTCTTGGTTTCTATGTCTGTGCTTAATAAAGCCAGGACTATTTGTACGTTTGACATCAGAAGCTTCTTAGACCAGCACGAGAAATTGAAAACAAGCTGGTGATTCCACAGCCTTCTCCAAGGAGAGAGCTGACTGCTACTGTATGTGAAGCTGCAGGTTTCACTTGCTGTCTCTCTTGGAAGCTGTTGTGTTGTAGGAAACCAAGTCTCACTGGGAACTTCTCCCTCTTAGGGCAATCTGTAATGAAGTTAATAACAATAAAAGTTAGAAAACTCTGTTGAGCACTTATGTGTTGGTCTATGTGCTTTCCATATGTCATTTCATGAATAAACCTGTGAAAATAAACCCTTATTACAGATTCATTATTATTATATATATATGAGAGTACTTCAAAAAGTTTGTAGAAAAAATAAAAAAATAATAAAAATTTTGAACATTTTGAAGACCCCCTCATATATATATATCCCTCTTCCCCACATTTTACGGATGAACAAATTGAGGCTAGAGATATTAAGCAAGTTGCTTGAGTTCTGACATCAATGAGGTGGTAGAGTTGGGATCTGATTGCAGACAGACTGTAGAGCTGGGCCCTTCATGATTGACCTGAACTATAAGTTTATCTTCTAATACTTTGTGCTCATCAAAGGGATATAGTAGTATTTGTGCAGTCCACTACCACACAGTAGCCATTAGCTACATGTGGCTGCCAAGCCCCTGAAGTGCAGTTAGTGTGACTGAGGACCTGAATTTTTAATTTACATTTAAATTTAAAAATGGAACCAGGAGAAAATATTTTTCTGTGAAATGCTACTTTATCATGTTAATAGGACTGCATTTTATTGCAACCATTTAAAGTATGGTGTCTTAATTCAGGATGTGCTGTACATATAAAATACACACCAGATTTTGAAGATGTGGAATGAAAAAAAATGAAAGATACGGGCTGGCCCGGTGGCGCACTGCTACAGTGCGCCGCTTGGGAGTGCAGCGACGCTCCCGCCGAGGGTTAGGATCCCACATACAGACCGGCCACTCACTGGCTGAGCGAGGTGCGGGCACAACACCGAGGGTTGCGATCCCGTTGCCAGTCCCGGTCCGGTACGGGCGCAACACTGAGGGTTGCGATCCGTTGCCGGTCACGAAAAAAGACAAAAAGGGAAAAAAAAAAAATAATGAAAGATACATGAGTGATTTTTAAATAATGATTATATATTGCAGTGATAATATTTTGGATATATTGGGTTAAATAAGAGATATTATTAAAGATAATTTCACCTGTGTCTCCATTTACTTTTTAGGAAAATGTGACTATTGGGAAATTTTAAATTATACATATGGCTCGCATTCTGTGTTTCTGTTAGGACAGGTTTAGGGGGTGACAGGACAATATTGTTTTAAGAAGTCATTGGCTTAAGCCATCTTTAGCCCTTAGTCATAAGTTTTCTAGAGATTAAGGCGTCATCTTGGAATAAAGCCCAGGCTCCTTAGCATGGTCAGGGCTCTCCTTTCTGACCTCTGCCACAGTTAGAAAGGCCTCTGACCCTCCCACGTGGTTCTTCACAGTACTTAACACAGTTTGCAATTGCATTTATTTATAATATGATAATATCAGAATCCCCCAAACGATATAATTTTACCATCTCATCTTTTTAACATTTAAATCTTAATCCAATTTAGATTTTTTTTTAGTGAGGGGTCTGGCGTAGACACCTGACTTAATTTTTTTCCATTGCCCCTGCACAAGATTACTTTATTTCTGCAGTCATTTGAAATGTATTCCATATCATTTAATAAATTCCCATAGAGTTCTTAGTCTCTTTCTGTGTTTAGTTCTTGTTGACCTGTTTATCTGTTCCTTTTCCAAATTCATGCCATTCTTGCTCCTAAAGCTTCACATTGTCTTTTGCCTTCTGGGGGACTATTCCTCTAATATTCTGTTGTTTTTGTTTTTCCTCTAAATAGTTTTTGCTATTCTTTAGCATTTTGGGGGGGGTTGGAGGAGTGGTTGAGCAGGGGTCTTTTTTTAAAAAAAGGTGAAAAATTAATAAAACACATAAGNATTTACATTGTTCTCATTTTGCGAATGAGGAAATTAAGGCTCAGAGAGGGAAAATAACTTATCTAAGGTCACACAGCCAACAGGTGGTAGGACAGGGATTTGAACCCAGTCTACCTCCAGAGGCTGTGCACTTAGCCTGTGCTAGTCTGCTGCTCAGCTGACATGCTTTGTGTTCCTTTTTCGCATTCCACATTTTCCTTCTTTCCTGGAGACAAACACTTCTGCGAATTTGATATTTTCCTGCCCATGTTTTTAGTGCCTATTTACATAGCTTTAAGCAATCTACAGTATTCAGAGTGGTTTTAAATTTTCATAAATGGTATAGTATCATAGGTAATATTCTGCAGCGTACTGTTTTCACCTATCATGTTTTCAAGAGCTGTAGAGCTGTCCATGTTTGAGTGGTAAAGATCAGGTTCATTCATTTTAGCTCCTATATCCTATATTTTCATCCCAGACCCTATCGGTAGACATTGTAGATATCTTCTCATTTTTTAAAAAAATTTAGGAACATTGCTATCATTTCCATCTCTGTTCAACTCTCTTTGGGCAACTGGTGTTGTGAGGGTTTTGCTAGAGGATATACCTAAAAGCAGAAAC